TAGGAAGCTGTTTCCGTTTCCGCTTCCCCATTGATGGGTTTCCGGACGTCGAAATGGATACAAATAGGTGGGTTAAGATAGGATAGGAAAACTCGAGCGAAGAATAGAAATAAACGAGAGTTGAAATTTTGGCAATTTTCTTCATGCGTCTCACCGGCTTAGGGTCACGGGACGCTCGGCGATGAAGCGGGACCTAAGAAAGGAGGAAAATGGTGAAGGGTCTATCAGATGTCTTGTCATCTCGGGCTTTGCCAAGGAAAAGGGAGAGAACTTGGGGGGGCTCCTCCTCTCCCCCTAAATGACGCGGAAGGGGAAAGGGAGTATAGAAAAAGGAGCCCCGAGATCTCTCTCGTCGAGATGCATTGAACGATTGCCAAACATCCTGGATAGTCCTACTACGTCATCCTCCCTAAGTCTCCTATCTCTTCCTTCACTCTGCATGGAAAATATCCCCTCTCGGATGGGCGAATCCATGAGATGAGGGTGAAATAAGGAAGGTGGGGGGGAAGCCCGTTTCCCCTCAAGGGGACGCGATCAAGAAAGATCCTTGGGGTATATCGTATCCTCTCTTCATCCACATTAAGGGGAGGCTATCTGCAGGCAGAAAAGATTAATGCTTCCCAATCATCCTCAGATTCATATATACCTGAGATCATTTTTCACCATTTGGAGCGATATCGACATCGAGGAATACATTTAAAAAATTACCAGAAGACTTTTATAGAATGGAAAGTATGAAAAAATAATCAAGCTGAGTGAACCGATCGCAAATGAATGAGCAGAGAGAAATCGTAATGACAAAGGGCACGTTAAAACGTAAATGCGCAAATGACAAGGGGAAAAGAAAAAAAAGGAGAAAATTGAATTTGCCATGAAAGATAATGAAGAGCCAAACTGACAAAATGAGTATCCAGAAATGATGATACGAAAGCATGAAAATCGATGGAAATGCACTCCGAAGAATTCCAATTAATCTCATTCAAAATATGTGAATATTGAGGAGATGCGATTAAACTAGCGTGCATGAAGAAAATCCCTAGGAGGGAGACTCTTCTGCATCGTCATGGGATTATGTATTCATGAGCAGGTGAAATGGATTTTCCTACGAGGGACATTCTTCCTTACCCCCGGATATCCCAGGGATTTCTCTTTCCCAACTCATAATGACCTCCCCCTTCCTCTCCTCATTTTTTTCCCTTCTCTACCGCTCTTTGTCCCTTCATAAACACTTCGTTTGCATAACTTTCATTCCCACAAATGCATGTATGAGGTCTTTCCCCGTCTTTTTATGCATTTTACTCATAGGGTCCTTGACAAGTTTCCATGGCTCGGCGATTCTCCCCGGGTCTTTTTCGATTATTCTTGCCAGAATGTCTCAAGATTCCGGCAGAGGCTTCTCAATCTTGACAGTCTTTTCTTTTTCTTTCCGTCTTCTTCTTCCTTGGAAACTCCATCCAAGCAAATTATGAAGACTTTCTCGCATTTCATCGCTCCGTTTATGGCTCCTCTCACTTCGTAAGACCGAGTCGGCTGGAAGCGGTTTCATTAATTTTCATTGGGGTTGAATCGATTTTTTTTGGGAATGGGAAGTACAGTGCGACGGAATGGATGGAGAATCGATGAATCCCAGTCCTCAATAGACGCGCAGAATTGAATCCTCCGTAATTGCCATGTGGATACCCGTAGTTTGCATGCAAATCGTGGCCTCGTGCACTCCCACCCCCCCTCTCCCCCTCCCCCTCCCTTCCGTAATTCATTCACTCGAGCTGTCATCGTCCCATGCATTGCAAATGGACATTGACGTTCCTGGATGGATGGGAGAAATTACTCGATGACTATCGAGGAAGACATCTTTTCTTCGTGGTCCTTCGGCTGTGCCTCGTGCATCGACCACGAGGCGAAGGAGACTTCTGGATCGATGAACAGGTCCTATTTGTGTCGAAGCGGTGCATTCGAGCCGATGAGGCAGATTCCTCTTCCTCGACACCATCTCCAGCTCGGACCGAATGGAAAGGGTGGACTTCATCCTTTCTTACGGAACTGCCGAAGCGATCGTGGCAAGCACAGGGGGTCTAGAAACGAAGGTAACACTCCGACAACTTTTTTTCTTCTTACAGATTAACCCCGAGAGGAAAAAAAAAAAGATTTTAGTCATTAGAAAAAGGAAAGATGAAGCTTTCTTTTCCTGGCGCTAGCGAGCCACCGCTCGCTGCCTCGTCGAGGATCCAGCTATGCAAACAATCGAATAGGTCTCAAAAGTCAGCGCAAAAAGCAGCAAATCCGTCGATGAGAATTTTGTAAAGCGCCTTACTGCGTGCTGGAGTTTGTTGAGGAACACATCTTCGACACTCTTCGACACGTCCTTCAGTCACACCGTGATTGTAGTAAATTTTTCATCGTTTAATTTTATCCTTCCATTTTAGCTTCAGAGTTGATCGATTTACATGTTGCTTCCAGCAAAAGAGAGCTTAATCTTTTTAAGCGCTAGATAAATTTTTTTCAAAGTTCAGGTTAATGCAAGGAAAATCTAATATTGCCGTGCAAACTTTTTTAGACTGCCTGTATGATAAACCCAGCAGAACGAGAACAGGCTTGGCCGCAGGGATATCGCATTGCCAGTATCGCAGGCTGCGCGTCTTCCAGGACCGACCTCGGACGCACAGCGTTTTCTCAGGTTAAAATGCCATCATGCTGTGATGGGTTCCATTCCAGGCACGATGTCGAATAAATATCTTGAACTCACCAAAACGTATTCCAAGTAAATAAGAATTAGGAAATATTCGCAGAATGAGAACTCAGAACCTCACTCCATCGATGGCAAGTTTCAATACAATATGTTCGGAAAGCGCACCAAACACGTGACTTTTCGTTATTTTATTAATAGGATAGCATCTCATGATTGTGTCATGACCGCTTTTGCAAGTGACTGAAAATATGAAAAAGTTGCATTTCACACTTTTTGGAAGGGGGGGAGGAGAAATAATTTTCTAATGGAGGATAAGACTTACTAGCGATCTATCTATTTGAAAATCTTTTTACAGTCAACCCTCGATATAGTGCCACAGTCGGTCATCGACGATTTTGCCACTATAACGATGGTGGCGCTGTATCGAATTATCTATATCCCGTATTATTGAGTTGGAAAGAAAGTCTTGCAACACTGCGCAAATTTTTCAAAATGTTATAACTTTATTGAAATGCAATTTCAGTCTACAATGTAATGACCATTGTTGCCTATGACATGTTCCCAACGCACGGGTAACGCACGGGGTCGAGCAGCGTAGACGACGGCAGTCACGGTGGTACCGGTTGGTAGGAGCTCATAGTACAACATTCCTTCTGAATCCCACCGACAGCAGAGAAGAACCTTCTTCTCGTGGAACCCTGGTTTCGGTTCGTGTGGCGGCAATTCTCCTCGTGGAAGCCACTGACTCTTGCGAGTATGGTCGACGTAGAGGACCCAGCTCTCATCTCAAGTAACGATTTCCTTCAAAAGGTCCTTTCTGTGCGGACGAAGGAGCAGTGATTCGCAGACACCGACACGGCTTGCTTTGTCAGAGTCGCCGAGCCGATGAGGGACCCATGTCGAGTAAACCTTCCGATAGCCAAGGTCGTTCAGATGGTTGCCGATGGCCATATGGGTGACTCCAAGTGTAATCGCCAATTCACGAGTGGCGTTCGGCTTCGCGTCGAGGGCGTTCCGCAGGGCTTCGTCATCGACTGTAGATGGACGTCCTGAGCGTGGTCGATCTCCGATGGTCGTGTCGCCAGATTCCAAGCGTTTCAACCATCGAGACACCGTGGAATAGTGGACGACGTTGCCCTTGAATGCAGCGCAGATGTTGTCCGCGGCGGCTCTCGCAGAGTGTCCTTGGAGGAACTCGTAGTAGACGATGGGGCGAAGAGTTGCTCGTTCGATCGGAGCCATGGCTGCCAACTGATGGCAGAAGCCGCCTTATATACCCCGAGGGCCGAAGCTTCGAGAACATTCCAGCATATGCAAATGCAAAGCCCCGCCCATCATTCCTTTGAAAATTTTTATAAATAGTTTTAGAAAGTGTTGCAAGACTTTCTTTCCAACCCAATATATAGGCCTATGGGGATATACTGTACATCCACAAGAAGAGGTTGACGATGAGTGAGACTGGCGTTAATCGAGTGGAGGTATAACGAGAGTTGACTGTACTTGAAACTACATGCGGTATTTTTGCCTTAATGCTGTGCAGGTACATGCGACGTAATGGCGACAGTGGAAGAAACAGCTCCCATAGTTTCTCGTGCAAAGGAGAGATGTGCAGCATAACTTCATCTATTATTATCAATATTATTATTATTATTATTATGGCTTCTGAAGAGCCATGAAGTGTGTTCACCACGAGCCATGTGTTCTCCCGGACACCATCCCAACGAAGGGAGTTGGGGATAGAGTACGCTAATCACATGAATGCGTTTTCACTGAGATAGCCCCAGAGCGACCCTGGGATTCACGTCGCTTCTCACAGTATTCGGGCGGGGAGGGTCGCTCTCTCCACCATTTCAAGGAGTTGCCTATCCCAGGGATGTCTGGAGAAAACGTCTCTGTCGAAACCAGAGCCGTACTGTGAACCGGGCGCGCACGATCATTTTCTCGTCATCGGATGACGTCATGATTGATGTCATCGTGCTTCTCGTGGTCGATCTCGCAGGAGTGAGAGGCTTTGGCTTCCATCGATAAACCCTTCCTCTTCCTCCTCTCGTTTTTCTCTTGCCTTTTACGATGATTTATTATGACTCCGTATTATGACTCGGCCCCACGCTCGGTGCGAATGAAGGTGGGGATGCGATGAAAGAATGGGAAAGGGCCCCGGAGGGAGAGATTAATTCTAGCACCGGAGAAGGATTGAAATTGATGATGCCGAGACCATTATGCTCCACCGAAACGAGGTCTCGCCTAATTTCCTCCACGCCTAATTATCCTCCCCCATTGTCCCACATTCTCCTCTTCTCGCTGCACTTCATTCATGGAGTTCTCCGTACCGTACAACACATCGTCATGGACACGGAAGGATACCCCAGCGGTACGACGAAAAGTCGATGCTCTTGCTTTTCCCTACGATGCCTTTGTGGGGTTTCATCCCCGAAGCCTTATGTTTCTCGGGACGCTCAGGTAATTGAAGCCCGTGGAATAGTGATGAAGAGTTTGTGTTTAATTCATGTGTGCAGATGTCGGGTGGGTCGGAGGGCGATCACAGTGATGAGATGCCAAGTTGAGATTCTTCCCATCCTCGTCTTCCTGGCCATGGTCCTTTTTTCAGGTCAGGCACGTCTTATCGCCCATCTTAATAAATAAATAAATAAAAACACGTTGAAATAAAAATGTTGCTGCTATGTTACGGGGAGCATCTCGTTGCCTTCCGCGATACGAGAGCTCTACATTTTCGTCAGCAGACCATGGAAGGACATGCAAAATAGGTTGAAGCATCATCCTTACTTCCAGTGTCTGCAAGGCTATAGGATATCCAATCGATGTTGAGGGATGAGAAATAATCGCATTAATGGCCACCGTGCGGTCGTGCCAAGGCGTACTTTGATGGATGAGTTTCTCCACAGAGACTCCTCGTTTTCTCTCCACATATACCGATCTTTCATCCTCGAAAGTGCATGCAAGCCACTCAGTCAGTAATTCTTTTTACGAGTCACCTGCTTTGGGAAACGGAAAAGTCGCGATTCTCATCTGAGCGTTTTTAAAGCCCCGATCGTCCGATGTGAATTGCTTTTAAAAAGTTTACATTCTCCTAGAAAAGGCGTTCATGTATTATGTCTCTGAATATTGCACATTTTTTAATATCACGATTGCCTGGTTGCAGCTGCTGGCGGAAGAAGAGAGTGCGTGTACGAGTATGGGAGCGGGGAGTCGAAAGGGGGGAACTTCTCGTCTCCGTCCTGGCCTTTATTCTACCCCAGCGGCCTAGAATGCCTCTATCATTTCTCCGCCTCCAACCGAGAGGGGATCTCCATCCAGTTCACGCACTTCGACCTCGAACCCCCATATGAGGCAGGGTAGGTGCATCCATTCCTTCGGTGCATGGCAAATCATGCGGCGAAACGCACATTGCACGGATATCGTATAGAGAGGAGGTTCTTGCACGGCGATAAGTTTGTCGTTGTTTTCCAGCATCGCGCTTCGGTAAAATCTGATTTTCTGTCATCCTTTCTACTGTAGATAAACATCGAATTTCTAGGTTTTTTACACTGTATTTTTTCGGTATCTAGTTTTTAAATAATTAAAATTTTTTGAAATTACAATACATTTAAAATTAAATTTATAATGCACTCAAGGTTTCCATCATTTCATAATTTTTCTTCAGAATTCAATAAAACTGTCAAATTGAATTAGTTGAACTTGAGGCAACATAACAAAAAAAACATGAAGTCGAATTCGTGTAAACTAACTTTACTTGCAGCAGTTGATCATAATTCAGATGTTACGAGAATCCTCGTTCGCATCATATGCGCCGCAAAAGCTTTGGGACGTGGACTTATAAGTCCTGCTGCTTAGGTTGCTTATAAGCAGCCTAAGGTGAGGGGAGGGGCTGGAGAGGCAGAGATAACAAATAATTTTGCTTGGGTGTCGGGTCGGGCGTCATACGAGTCAACAGAGATGTGGTTTATTTTGTTTCTCCTCATGCTTAGTCCACGCTCGGAGGGATTTATGAAGCCCATATGGATGAAGATGATGATCTGGCCTAGCCCGAGGGGCAATGGGATGAGGGAAAGAATGACGGGGAGAAGCGAGAGCCAAGGGATGAAAGACAGGAGGAAATAACGGAAGGAAGGAATGAAAGAAAGGAGCCTTTATTACTGTCAGTGCCCTGTCTCCCTCTTTCCCCTCTCCGAGTGAAAATAGGCGCCTTTCCCTTCTTCTAATTCCTTGGGATTCGGATCGTGTTGTTGGAATTCCCGGAATCCGGAATGCGACCTCATGATGGCCCGCGATAAAAAATTCTTTCCGTCTTACGACCCAGTATATTGCATTCTATACCAGCAATTGTACCAAGGAAAAAACCTAGCAAATAGTTTCACGTCATGCGTTTCATGCCTATATAAATCAATATTTTATTCTTTTTTATTTGTCCTGAATTTCTGATTTCATTTTCACTCACACTATCCATATTTCATTCGTTAGGTATTAATTATTTATATTCTATCGTCGGGCAATGGTCAATTTTTACACAACCCTATTATGATTCAGCGTTATTTTATACATAATTTATATTTAAAAAACCTACTGATAACGGATGTTACGCCTATGCACTCGCACACATCTGGACGCCAAGAAAGCTATGCCGGGCCGGAAGACTGGATAACCGCGACAGAGGAGGAGGAATTCCACTTGATAAAGAAGCTGATGGAAAGAAAGCCCGGTTAATGTCGGCTTTGATTGGCAATAAGATGGAATTGATGACCCAAGACAATGAGCGAGGCCCCTTCGTCTGGATTCCATCCAAAACCACGTGAACACTCTGGATTCGATTTCCCGCGTTCCCCTCACCAGACCCAGGAAGGAAGGGATCCAATTCTAATTTGTCGGGAAGGCGTTGCTGCAGAGGACCACGAGACCCATTTTTACCGAATCGGCCCACCATCCATTAATGCCACTTGAACAGCATAGCAGCATCTTCATTGCTTAATTGAAAACGTCGTAGAGATTTGACATCTCCTTTCCAGTTTTGAGGTGAGGTAATGCATGTGGAGCAGTCATAGTTTTGCAAGGAAGAGAAAATATTCCAATCAAATCAAATCAAGCCAAGGGCGGTATTTTTTCCGATTGTCTGCATGAAAAACCATAATAATACTTTTTTTTAGCATGTTTTTGTCGGTGTTTCTCAATCGCATACCGTAGACCGTGGGAAAGATTTTTAAATGTCCAAGAATATCTTTTATACAGAGAAAACTGCCTTTAGAACTATATTCCGTTTACGTGATGTTTTGCAATAATATTTTTGGATCGAAAAATGAAATGGTCAGAGACAATGCTATCGATTGCCTTTTACGAGACATAGCAATATGAAGGACGCAGAGATGACAGAAATCGGAGCCAAAAGAGGTTTTAACCTCCTTTAACAGCGCTAAAGAAGGTTTAAAGCTCCATTAGGCTAAAGTCAGTTCCATGCAATCCACCCATCGTCTAGAATTCGCTGACAGAGTGGCTCAAAACATTTCTTCTTCCATTCTCTGGCAAAAGTAACAATAACGCTTGAGTTTTTTTTTTTGCTATTCATTTACCTTTATGATGTGCTTGTTTATCTCGATGAAAAGAATCGTGATGGCTTTCTTGATGGACCGCCTCGCGATAAAAGGCAACTCTTCCGAATCGCGTGAAGAAACGCCATTATTTGCCGTTCATTTCTTTCATCTGTCATGCGAAATATTCATCCAACGGCAATGAAATTCCCTCGCAACTTTTCTAGTCGTGGCAGTGGGGAGGAAGAAAGAGAGAAAGAAAAAAAAGTAAATCCAGTATATTTATCGGAAATTTGGGCAGAACCCGCCCTTCCCCCCCCCCCCCCTTCCCCCCTGGCCCTGCTCCCAGCGTCCATATCGCGAATGGTTGCGATGAAGACTTTTTTCACAGATTACGTTTCCTGCTCCTCTACCCATTCTGAGCCATTTCTACCACTCGAGAGGACTCGGATCGACCTCCTTCATAAATGAGGGGTCATTTCCAGGCGAGATTACCCAGTCGATGAGGCATGCATGGAAACTGCAACCGGATTGCCGAGCGAGGACGTCTAAATTACGAGGTCTCATATCGTCGAGAATGGACTCGTTTTTGGCACGGCTTCAAATTGGCAACCGGATTCTTTCCTTTCAGACTTTGTCGCCTCTCGTCCCGTCCTCCTCTGTGCATCCGACCCCTCTTCATCCTTTTTGTTTTTCTTTTTCCATTTTTGGCTTTCATTCCAATAATGTTTCTCTCCTCTTCCTTATTCGAGTCCCACGCACCGCAGAGTCTCGTTACGGGAATTTCACACTGCCGGTTTTCTTGTGCGCAGGCAAGTCACGCTAAGGTCTCACGATCTCTGCAGCAGTGCTATAGATACTCTACTAGCCTTGCATGCGTTCAGAAGAAGAAGATAGATTCGACCTGCTGACTTTAAAAACGTAATTAATTTGGTTAGGAAATAGATGATGAATGTAAAAAGTCTGTTGATTGATCAATCAATTATTTTTTAAGGTGCCTGAATGACTACGTGGACATATCGACGTTCTCAGACGTGGGGTTCAAGTCTTTTATTGGCCGGTATTGTGGATCAAATCTTCCACCCGAGATTTTGGTCATACACCCTAAAGTGGAACTGTATTTTAGCACGAATCTGGTACTTCAACACCGGGGCTTCACCGGTGTCTATTCCTTCCTTCCCGAAGGTAAGTGCTTTTTCTGAATCACATTTCTTGCACAGATATCGAAAAAGCCTAGCGACCTGCGAGCAATGGGAAAGGAAACAGATCGTCTTAAGAGTATTCGGTTGCTCGAGGTCGATTTTTATAATACCCGGGTGGCACAAGGAAAAATATTCCCAGCCTCACCTGTCTGTAAACAGAACACCATGTGAGATATCGGCAGAAAATATATTGGGAGTCACATCCAACATGTGTAGGTGGTTTCACGAAAATGTCAATGAAATAGGTCGCTTAGAATAGAATCAATATATTTTTTTCTTCGTGATTTTTACGAGCTCTCGTGTGGGCATGCATGACCTGACTGACCTGACATCTGACTCACATTCGGACTCGCATTTTGTTCTTTCCTGCTGAGCAGCCAGGCGCAGACACCCGTTTGAAATTGTGCGGGAAAAAGCTGTCTTTCGGGTCCCGAAAGGCCTATTTCAATTATATATTCGCGGGACTATCTTCTTATGTTGAATGTGAAACCATATAAAATATTCTGCCGATACCACGAATGGCGTTTCGTCTACAGTCATGTAAAGTTGGAGCATTTTTTGGACAACTCCATTGTAACAGGACGGTTTTGAAATTCCACGATCATGTAGAAATGTGGCTGTTGAGGGCTTTGGACAAGTAACTTAGTCACGGACTTCTATATTCGAAAAAAGTGTTGAAATTTGAGAATTCCATATATAACAATTGTAGGGATTAAGGTCGAGCGCTCTCAAGACAGCCATATCTTCTCTCGTTAATACCTGTAATTTCCAGGATCATATGAAAGATGACTGGTTTTAGGTGCAGGCCGATTACAATTACACCGCGTTGGTAAAAAAAAAAAATGGCTTGACAGTATCTCACCCCTAACTTCAAATGTCCGTTTCCTCTTTCACAAGAGGGAATCCCAGCGCCAGGATCGAGGTGGGAAGGGGTGAAAGGATGCGGTGGGGTGATCACGGGTGTGGGAGGGGTGCTCGCTTCACCCGGTTACCCTTCTTTCTACCCGGGTCCCGTGGATTGCTTTTGGCTCATCAGAGTCCCCACCGATCGACACATCTTTCTTCAAGTCCTCGACCTCGAACTCGAAGGAAGCATCGGTCCGTCGTCTCGCACTTACTCCTGCTTCTTCCACGATTTTCGTGCCGTTTCGTAAAGGGTATCATATGATTATTAAACCACGAAGGAGGCTGCCGTCGACGTGAAAAAAGATCTCCACGAAATCGCTTCCGTTTGTTTGATATATCAATTATAATTTCGATTAGTGAATTTTCGCGATATCTACGTGAAATCTATGGGCTTGAATATCAGGTGCCGTAGGAAGGATTTTTGGAAATCTAGAGGAAAACTTCCACAAATATCTACCGCAAAAAAGAGAGTGGGTTAACTTATGAAAGCACTGATGGAGGTTAACGATGAAAGTCCTGTAAACGGCTATGGATTACGATGCCCGAAGACGGCGATGGTGTTCGCATGTGTCTGTGTGCGTGTGACAGCCAGTTGTTCGAGGGCAGAGGTGAGTGTGTACGACGGCTACGGGAGCATCGAGTTGAACCAGAAATTGAGGAAATTCTGCGGAGGACTGGGATACTACAAGAACCCTGGCGAGAAGATTCTCCTTTCTTCGAGGAATCGCATCCTCGTTAGGTTCGTCCGGCCGCTCGTCCTTCCATTTTCAATCGTCCTTGTCACCGGAGCTCTCTTTACTCCTAGGGAAATTTTTTATTTTTTATTTATTTAAGGCACTATCAACAGCCTACAATTGCAATCAGGCGAGCTGGCATCTGGCTGGAGAGGGCATCAATGAAAAATCAACTCGCGGGACGGGTTCACGGAAAAAGAGAATTACATTTTGTAAGATTCCGGAAGAATTCGAGTGCGTAACAGTTTGAAAATAGAAGTTAACTTCACCGATGGGGATGAGTGCCACTGATCACTCGGAGCATATTTGTGGACTCTAAAAAGTGCTGAAAGGCGAATACAATTATCCTCGAAAAAGAGTTAAAATATCCTCTTGCATATGCCCCAGACATGATTTTTGAGAATAGTTTTCGGATGGCATTCCATGCCTACTCGGTCACGAAGGCCACCATGCACTGAGATGGTCAAATGCGACCGTATGGAGCAGCTCAACGTGTTCTGCTTTCACAGCCAGCGATGGAAAAATTGATCTCAGATCGGTTTTAGTCCATAGGATGAAATGGCAGCTTTGAAACGATGGGTGAGGCCAGGGTTTGAAAGCGGCGGAATCGAAGAATCGTCGTTCATCATCGCCATTGCAGATAGGATTGGAATCCCGGCCAGGAACATCACCGTGCAGAGATATGGAATGGCCATATTCGAGGAAGTCCCAACACTGGCAATCTCATCGCATTCCGTTGCGTGTTGCGGAAAATGTTTCCTGCACGCACATTCTACCTTAAAAGGGTGCTCAATGAGGGCACTAATGAATGAATGTAAAGGAATTCGAGAGCACTTCACACAGCCCTACCTCAAAAGCGGCAGCTGCGACTCCTTTTTTGCTCCCCCTACTGTGTCGATTGACCAAGGATGGGGCAAGAGATACCCCAAAGAAACCTTGCAACGTTTTCGTGAAATGGTATACTTGTAAACCATTTCCTAAACGATCGAGAGAACTCATACGGATTTCTATCCAACGAAAGTGAATAACGACCGATGCGAGGAACGAAAGAGAGAGACATTTTGGATTGGAACGTTTCTGCCCGCAGGATGCAGACGGAGTCGAGATCCCAGCAAGGACGACGGGAGGACGTGGGATTTCGGATCGTCTGGACCCAAGTCCAACTCCTCGTTCCAGGTTCTTTTCTCTCTTCTTTTTTGTTTTTGTCCTCTCTCTCACCGTGGACCCCAATGGAGTCGGATGCTGCAGGGAACTGCACCGGTGGATTCGTGTGTAAGGAGTCCGCTTATTGCGTGGGGGAAGAATACGCGAGCAACCTGAATCCGTGCGAAGAACCCCGTCATTTCTGCATACATTCTTCCCTTCAATGCAACGGGGAACTCAACTGCTCCGATGGCGACTCCTCCGACGAGCACGACTGTCTGTTCCAAGGACTCATTCCTTGTTTTAGTCTAAGTCTGTCGCTTAAGAAACCGATCACAAATAAGGATGAGGCTTACCGGTGCTCTTTAAACGAAGGGGGAGCGCAGATATGCCGGGTGGCAAGATCACCAGTCACGACATGTCAGGCGTCAGATCACACCGACCGTTTGAACAGTAACTTTCAAACGATCGATTCGTGGAAAGTTTCCTCGGGATTATCTTCGCCGCACTGGGATCTCATTCTTCAACGTCACGAGTGATGAGTGGCGAGTTTGATGGCGTCAGAGGCCCGAAGGGTGCTCATGGAAAACGATGCAAAAATCGTCACAAAAGTCGTTCATCTGTTTAAAAGTTTCTTGATTTACGATTGAATCAAATTGAATCCGACTCGGGGCAGTGTCTACTAACTGACTGATAATGGACAGCGCATATGCTCCATTCTCATTACTCACAGAAACAGCATTACATTGGCATAATTCTTTACTAGGGTTAGGGTGCTTGAAGCGCTGACGATTCTGCCATCCAGCGTGTTCTCCTTGCGGGCGTATAGATGCTAGTCAAATCGAATCGGTAAGCTTCACACTGTTGTAAAACCAGGGCACGAAGATGTCGGGCTTAGAGATACCATGAAAAGTAAAAAGGACCTTGCAGTTTTAAGCAAGATGAAATACTTCAAGCTTTTATTTATATTTCATCTTCCTTTGCATCGGTTGTCGCCCAGGTTACAGAAATTCGTTGATCGCGGCGGGAGTGGTGACCCCATGCGCTTTGGTCCTCCTCGCCGTCATCGCCATCCTCTGTAAGCGATCCAAGTGCCAGGGAGAAAAGAAGAAAAAGAAAGGCACCATGATGACGTTCGACCTGGAATCCACGGCTCCCACGACCCCGACCTCCTTGTCCGTTCAGCTGCCGGTCGTCGAGTTGGATCGCAGCCCCTCTTATCTCAATCAGAAGAGCTTTCAATCTTCCTTGTGAGTCCCCCAACCGGAATAGACGTAGACATGGGTCACCTCATATAGTCTTGAAAATATCAAACACCACATTTAGAACATTTGAAAACATTCAACTTACGGAAACCCATTTTTGTTGCTCCTTGAATTTTTTTTAATTCAGAGCATTCCAAGAGCCTAAGGCCCGAATACTGAAACCTCATGAAGGTGAGATAATAGCCTTTAAGCAAAAAAGCTTTTTTTTTTTTTTTTTTTTTTTTACCCGGAGGAGTTCATGAATTTATGAAGGACCGTTAACTAAAAATAGGTTTCAGCACTCTGGCGTAATTCTCCATTCACGGTCTCCTCCGGGAACGTTAGTGACGGCTTTCTGTATTTTTCACTAAGCTGAAAAGAAAACCATTTTCAATGGTCCACTCACAATCAAGGGGAGCTCAGAACTCGGGCCGCGTGTACTCGTCTACTTTTTTTAGCAGCGGTTTATACGAGGGTGGTTCATCTGCACTTTCTATTCTAGAAAATAAATAGGATTGGAAAAAGTCTGAAAGCCTAATATGGCAGATAGCCCCAATCTTCACTATGATTTATGCCAAGACTGGCAACCCTTGCGCATGCGCAATTGAATGTGAAGAACATGGCATCTGATGGTATATCCTTCGGGGTTAAACAGCGTTGTATAATAAAGTTTCACGGGAAAGAGAATGTGAAGGAGGCTGATACTTTTCGAAGATGACAAGCATAGTTCGGGGAAGACTGTCTAGAGAGAGAAGTGTATCTGATCGTGCAAGAAATTTCAAGACGGCCAAGAATCCTTGACAATTCCTTGAGCGTGGCCATCCGTCCGAGACTGTTGTGAATCCTGTGGATATCCGGCAAATTGAACAATTGATTCTGAAAAATCGTCGCATCACCGTGCATGATTTTGTAGCGGAACTAAGCATCAACATTGGGAGTGTCGAAAACATTATCCACAGTCACTTTAAGTTCAAAGAGGTGACTACGAGATAGATGCCAAGATAACTGACATTCGAACAGAAGGCTAACCGAGTGAGCGCCGCGTCGGACCATTTCAACTGCTATCACAAAGAGAAAGACAACATCCTCAACGGCATTTTGATGAGTGATGAAATGTGAATTCATCATTTAACGTCAGTATGAAAACGCTCAAACATGCAAAGGCGACATCCCACATCGCCTCGGCCTCAGAATTCAGAGCAATGATGAAGTGGTGAAATGGCTGCGCACTCGACCACAAGCATTCAAATGTCTCGGGCGTTCAGGCGTTGCCAAAGCGATGAGACAAGTGCGTCTATGGAGGAGGGGAATACCTCGAGAAGTATGTGTAGTTTCATAGAGATCAGAAGTACCATAGATTTTCTGGAATAAAAAGTGCAGGTAAGTATTGAACCACCCTCGTACATGCCAGAGGGGACACATATATTTAGTCTGTCTAGCTGAGAGATCCTTTGTTTTTACAATAAAAGCCATTTACATACAATGCACCGCGAATAATGTTCTAAATCAGTGGTCGGCAACTGGCAGCCCGCGGAAGTCCTCCTGGCCCGCGAAGACACGGATATCGGACATCACGATCTGACAATAGACGTTCAACTGCACGTTTGACATGAGACGTTCAATAAAATTTCCATTTTAATGACACTTGGTAAGCGCTGGCTCGCCAACGTTCAGCATTCTGCAATCCGGCCCGCCGTGAAATTTAGTTGCCGACCACTGTTCTAAATGTTTCCGTACGTGTAACCACCGCCCATGAGTCTTGTTAGGTTTGACTCGAGTGGAAAATTGTAGGCTGGAGCATAATGCTACGATAAATTTATCCGATCGCTGTGTACATCTCTGTAATCTATAATAATAATAAAAATCTCCGAGTTCGTACGACCTCGACTTTCATGAAATATGAAAAAGGAGCTTGAAAACTTGTCTATTCACAATATCTTAACCATACTCATCCTGGCAAGACTTACGGATGGTGGCATACACGTACAACAGCACCTTGTATAATTATGTTTCATCTGGTTTTCCGGGCATGTATCCCATGTCAGCGAACAGATGTCATCGCTACCGAAGGGAATCATGACATGTCCCCGACACGGGCACGGGCAGCTGGTGGACCTGGACCTGGTGGACGCTGGAGAAGCAGACGACGGGAGTGATGTTACCATCCCCACTCCTCCTCCCTCCATCCACGCGGCCGCAATGTGTCCTTCTTCCAGCAAGCATATCAAGTTCTCTTCCTCGACCACGAAGGACCGTGACAATGTGAATGTGACGGACATGATTAAGACTCCTGACATGGAGTTCATTGTGAGAAACAATCCCTATGCGGAACTGACCTCTCCTCTCCTAGAGGGAACAGAAAGGTCACATTCAGGATCAGGAGTCACCGGGAACCGTTGTCCTCGCTGTGACAAACCTCGTCGTCAGGGTAGCACATCCTCGCCCAAGTGCTGTCGCAAGAGACAGGAATCCTTCAACTCCACCCTATGACCTCAACTGCACCTATTTATATCCCGTTGCCCCACCGACAATAAATTGTCACCGTTATGCATCTGAACTGAATTATAATATTCTATATATTTTTCTCCTTTGTCTATTCTTCACGTCTTCCACCAGTTTTGGCAATTGACAATGGATCGAATAATTTGTATATCATAGTATACTACAAACTTAGGAGTTTTAAGGAGAGAATATTCATGTCTTGATTACCTATTTAAAATTATGCCACGCAAATGTTCGCCTCTTCCTTGTATGCACTGGTGCACATGGAACACTGCGCTCCTCATCACTGTGAATCATAACCATGAGAATATTGACTATTCAAATTCGATGCTTCGGCTTAATTCTTTACTTCGTCTGTTTTCAGTAAAGCGTGACTTCCAAAAAAAAAACAAGAAAAAATCGGGAGGAGGTTAAGTCAGGGACAAGCTGACGGTTAGAAAAGAAATAACTCAGTGAGTTACGTCTGAGCTATATCAGGTAATAATCAATTAATCTCTCATCCTAAAATCACAAGATGTGGGATTAAATGAACAGACTTGATTCCAACAGGATGGGGCAACAGCCCATGCTGCCCGGGCATCACTGGAATTGCTGAGAAAATTGTCTTCGAGCCGCCTCACGCCGAAATTTGGGGACATTTCATGGCCGACCAGAAGCGCACCGCTTCTGAATGTCGAAAGAATAAATGTCGACAGGAAAATAGTCAACGGCCAAAATGACGATGGAGACCATGTAGAAATACATCAATGTCGATAGGAGGAAAGATCGATCCAGTAAATGTCGAAAGGGACTTTTAACCCTTTCGCTGCCGTTCACGTCATATGGTGTGTTCAGCGCGACGAACTTCCACTGCCATGCTAGGCAAGAAGAGGCTGCCTGGGCATTTAAGTCTTAGGCAGTGAAAGGGTTAACACATTCATAAGGTGAAGCACTTGCAGTCATCAGATGAAGGGAGCATGGGGAAGAACATGATCATGATGATGACTGGAAGGTTCCTTTATCAGCTGTCCCCCTTGTGTGATGGCACGAACTTTGAAAGAGCTGGTCCTGACATCTCAAGTAAAATTTCTCCCTCTCTCGAATAGATATACGTGAAGGACTAGCATTTTCTTGCCTTTCTGAGATCCGGCGAATGTCACATTTGAGTTTATTACAGACCAAGGTCGGAGAAGGAAGGAATTTAATGCCGAAGTCAGATGATGTACATGAAGGAGAATACACACGTGACACATGGCACTTACATAGAAGCCCATGGAATGGCTTCATCGATGGATCCACAGTCTCATTTCAAGAGTTAAATTACCTGCAAGGACATCGCCGAATTGCCAGATAAGGCTTCGTGAGAGAGACAAAGCAGAGAAGGCAGAAGGTGAAAGTGACCTAATGACTTTCCAGTTGTATCCGCAGACAGTTCGAAGCACTCCACCAGTCCCTTCATTGTCCCTTTCGTGGAGCACATCGTTCAACTAAGTCATGTTTGCACACTCCCACAGAACGATTACTCTTGTAAAAATCACGTTTCGACATTTCCTCTTCGTCGATGTTTAGAATTCTGGCTCCATTCCATTCGACATCATGCATAAGCGACATTTTATGACATCTACATTATTGCCCTTCGACATTACTACCTTTCTGCGTTTCTGCTGTCGACATTCCAACGTACACCCATCCGACCAGAAGCTCTGAATTGACCGTCCCCGATTTTTTCCGATGGGGCTTTATGAAGTGGCACGTTCTTGCAAACAGACCAAGGTCCCGAGAAAAATTAAGTTGAAAAATCGAATTTGAAACAGCCAAAATTACAATGGTTATTATGATTCACCAAGTTATGCGCGCCAGTGCAAGCATGAAAGAGGCGGATTTTTATACGTATTTTTAATTGGTAAACACAACATAACTATTCTCTCCTTGAAACTCCCTAGTTCGTAGTATACCATGATGTGCTAATTATTTGAATAATCGTAAAAATACACACGTTACAAAGCTTTTATTCCTGTCCAGTATTTCTTGGCCACTGTACCTACAACCAATGTAGTTCACTCGCAGGTGCTTCATTGGTTAGTCTTGCATGGCCTGATTTCCGCCCATGACAACGTCCGGTACAGCTCAAAGGAAAAAAGTCCGGTTCCACTATGAAGATCAATTCTCATGCAAAAATTTGGCAATTAACTCCAAATAGAGCAGGGTAAAATGCAGGGATGACTCAGGAAACACAGCTGCTATTTGCTAACCGACCGTCACTTTTGTAAGTTTTAAAAAGTATTCCTCTCAGGCCATGAAAGGTTGGCATTTTCTGATAATTCCTAGGGCAGATTTCTCAGTTGAAATGTCAATTCCATAATCTCAAACTGACCTCTCCACTCAAACTTGTCACAATAATTGCTCTGCTTCGCCCTAATTAGGGGTTAAAGGAGCCTGGATCCCAAATCTGTCTTTCTTTCCAAGCTTATGAGTCAGAGTTAGAAAAAATCTGTTATTCAGCCTGATTGTTTTTTTTTGTGTGAAAAATTGAGAAAAATCCCAAGGTGAGCTATTCAACAATTAGATCATCAACATCACTTTCAAAATGAATTAAACCTAGACAAGGAAGAATAACATTATGGAATCAAAATTACTGACTTCATGACAGAAACAAAACCTTCAATTCAAGATAAGACAAGGACAATGACAATAGAGACCAGGAGCCACAAAAAGTTTTAGTTGTAGCAGAGATAAAGCAGATTTGTGAACTCCAAGTAACATCTTTCAAATGCCAACAGTTCACAGAAAAAATTGTATGTCTTCCTTTGTTATTTAATGAAATTCATTAATTTATAAATTGAAAAAATGGAACCCTACTTTACCTGAATTCATTTAAATTATTATTACCACCTGGCTTCGTTTTTCCTGGACAAGGAAACTTGGGGTTAAAAACAAGGATGAAAAGATGAAAAAAAAGTTGCATCAAATAGTACTAGCCTACTCAATTGTACAAATGATTTATTCTCCTAGAAAAGTAGAATATATATTTTTCTATCATGTATTCATAAACATGATTCACAGTAGGCCAATAAAATCATCCATGTATCAGAGTTCCATTGCTCTTAGTATTCTAGAGCAAAGTTGGAAAATCAAGAACAATGAGGTGGTGGAAACATAGATTTGCATTAGCAGTTCTCCCACTCAGTCTCAGAGGCAACCAGAAGTTTTCATTCAGACAGGAATGAAAGAAGCAGGAGTTCAAACTTGTCTCAAGCGAGCAAGTCGTTGTGAGAGATCATCCTGCTCCACTGAGGCCTGTGTTGACACTCCAACAGATCCTGTCTCCCCTTGAGGCAGTTCCATGTTCAATTCCAATCTGTGAAGGTTGGTTAGAAGATTGCATGTCAGACAAGAAGGCATTGACAAGAGAGTAATTACAAAAATCAGCATGAAGACAAAGTGAGGTTGAATGTTCCACAACAAATACAATGCTTGCTATTAAAAAATTTGGGATCATCATACAGAGTTATGCCATTATTGCATAAAGAAAATTACTTTAGCAAGAGGGGTGTCCATAATACCAGTATTATACACTCTTAGAGATTTCATGTCTACATTCCAGAGTGATGAGACTTCACTCCTTTTATTTCCCAAGAAGCAATTTCCCTGAAAATTCACAATATAACCTAATTACTTCTCAAGTCTTTGAATTCCAAGTTTTAAAAGTACAAAAACAAGCTAATCTTGATCCTAAAACAGACAAAAAAAAACCCTTCCAAGAATGTTCATGTGTTTACTATATAACACCCTAGTAATGAACTAGGAAGGCCTATATTGTAATTAACTCCAATGCAAGAATGATTCTCTTGATCTAGATCAGATAGTATCCTATATATCAAATAAATGGTGAGTTATAAATATGAGAACTTGATCTTGAAATATGAGAACCGAGCTAAGAAATAGTGCTTAAAATGAGACAAACAAGCAATAAGAATTCATTTGGAACATACTAAAGAAAAGCTTCCAGATAAAAATTGCTTCAGTACAGTTCCTAAGAATATATTCTGTCCAGGTAAGGTTTTCCAAGAGGAAAACTAGGTTTCATTATAAAGTAGTAAACAGTACATCCACTTAAAAGCTGAGATTTCCATTTCTTTGAAATTGAAATATCTAAATTGTCATTGAATATTTTTGCAATCTTCTAATGCTCCATATTTTCAACAAATATGGGAGTACTTTGACCAAGAGGGAAAGAACAGAAGAGCAAAACTAGAAATAATGAAAACAAGAGAGCAAATGAAAGACCATTTACATACCCAGCCTCATCAGCAACTTGTTGCATGAGGTTGTCAACTTCATTCTGGGGGACAGTGGTAGTGGTTGTCTGGCTCATGGCACCCTCCATGTAAGAACTCTGTACATCCAGGTCCTCAAACTGCTTCTCAAATTTGTCCATCAAGCTTGAGATCTTCTCAAGATTCATAGACCGCATTGCAGCATCCATTGCCTTCACCACACCAGCCATTGATGTTGTCACCTGCAAGTAGGTCACAGCCTTTGTTTCAGTATCAACTTCAGAACAAAGCAGGCTAATCATAGTGTTGGTACAGGCAAGCCTATCAGATTGAACCAAAAAAAATAAAAATCTTGGTTTTGGCATACTTTTCGCGTTGTGACAGCAGTCTGAACTCGACTAGCAACAGCATCCACCCTGGCTGCCATTCGAAGATAGTTGAGGGCCTGATTCTTCTGTCGAATTGCATTTTCAGCATGAATCCTTGCCCCTTCCGTGTTGTTCTTCTGGATAGCCTTCTTCAACTTGGTTTTTTCAACCTTCTCCTCTTTTTCACACTTCTTGGAATTTCGCTCCAGCTCTTTGGTTGCAAACTTCAGGTTGAAGAGGTGCTCTTATGGGCAGTGAAGTTAAGGACCCATGTATTAAAGGCTATGATTTATTACTGGTTAGACCATGTATCAGTATATAAATCTATGATAGGCTAGGACCAAAGTGGGTAATTTCTACCTTCTGTCTGGTCAAATTAGATCTAATAGCAGCCCAGGATACATTGGAAAGATTCTTCTCCAAGGCTAAGCATGCTTATGCCTAGGACAGGCCTACTATAGTGTTTTTCATTTGACTTAGACACCTGTGCATGGGATGTTCCTCATGCACAAGTGTCTGAGTCAACTGAAAAATTGTCTAACTCAAGAGAAAAATAGTATAATATTAAGCTTAGGCAAGGTCTATTTTCAATTTCTATCGCTTGACTTCAACACTTTTTCTAATGAGCCTGTCACCATCTGTAGCACTTCTCATGCATGGGTGTAGGAGTCAAGAGAATATGTGTTAAAAACAACTGTAAAAATTTGAAATGTTTCGTTTACTTATAAGCTAATCCTGAGCTTCAGGCATGAAAAGAAGTGTTAAGTTAGGGCCTAGGCCTAACAAGATATTAGAGAAGGATACTTTCCATGGTAGCGATCGACATCTTGGCTGGAGAATATGTCAACAGAATGAATAATACGTTTGTTAAAAGTTTTGATTTTTTCTTTCAAGTGAGCAGTTACCTCGCAGAGAGGTGACCTCACTCTAGCAGGAACAACCGAATGAGTGAATGAGCATGGGACTCGCCATGCAACTCATGAATCACTCATGATGACACCACGTGCACTTGACACACCAGCTTGACTAAGACCTTTTAAAAAAACTTATTCAGTCTCTCTCTGTACCCCTGATATGTTCATGAATTTGAAGTGGTCCTATCATGTCACGAGGCAGATCACAAATTGTATCAAAGTGACTTCAATGCATGTACTGTCTAGTGGGCGAGCAGACTACTCTGGAAACGTCAGCTGATGGTGGTGTCACATTAAATCCGTCGTCGTTGTCGTGGTCGGTACTACTCGGTGGTGAAATTAGTTGATCGCGTCTCCTTCCTGTTACCAATCAGCCTGCCATCCGCGAACATTTTATGCTAGCAATATTGCGGTTATCCCTGCTTAAGAAAAAATTATATTCTACGGAAAGTACTTGCACAGGTTAAGTGCCTACAGTAGATTGCCTTCCACCATGGATGATAATCCCCTTCGTCGGAAGAGTCCAGGTAAGCATCCAGTAGTTTAGGCCTACTGGACAGGGTTAACCAATATAACTATAACATGTATACATACAAGGACATCTCTTTCTTAACCCACTATATCTTCTTTCAATTTCTACGTTAAGGGTCAAGAATGTACCTCATGAGCCTGTTTCCCCTTGAGAAAGGCATGAAAATGTCGAAACATCGGGGAATGAACTTTTAATTCCATCCTCTTTGAGTTGGTCATTTCGTGCTCATCAACCTTTTACTACCGGATTGATGAGTGTTTTCCTTTACAATCCATGTCAGTTCTGCTAGCCTCCTCTCCTTGGCAGTCCTAAAATGTCCAGCCAATATATCCGTTGCAATGTCATCCTCAGTGGGTGGAGTTTCCAAAATGCGAAGCTACTGCTAGGTTGGAGGTTTTCTTCCGGATTGAAGACTTATAGTTGTTGAAATGCAGACAGATGGAGGTGTTGGTCTCCCCAATATAAGAAATGTGGCATTTCTTGGAGCGAATGCTGTAGATGACATTGGACGAGTCATGGTTGAAAATTCCAGCATCAATAGGAAAGTGTTTGCAAACTTGAAACTGGCATTTGTGACATGGAGCTCCATGTCTGGTTGATGTGTCTTCAGTATTCAACTTGGAATGAGCATGGAGATTATGTGGTTGTTGAAATGCAAGGAGAGGTGGTACAGGGAAGACCTTGAGTCCTTCATCTGCAGTTTATATATATATATATATATATATATATAACTGCAAAAATGATGCCAGAGTGCCACACCACTAAACCACCCAACATTGCTCTAAGTTGTGAAGCAGCACACAAAAAACCCGATCAGAGCAGACAACACTACTAAATGTAGGAGAAAATCGATGCAATCCCATAGCTGGCTAACCAGCACAACTGACTCCAAAAGAATTAAAAAAGAAGAATGAAAGGAAAGGAGCCTTTGGAATCTGAAAGAATAGCAGGATCCTCATCAGGGGCACAGTCATGCTAAAACTTACAGTGCAAACAGGTCTTTTTCAGAATTCTCAGTAGAACTAAGGAAGGTTAGAAGAATTGGAAAGGGTCGTCAGATGACTGCACCCACAGCTGAAGTCCATCCCACAATCACCATAGAGGCACATTCCATTAGCTGAAGAGAGCTCATGCTCAAGTTACTGGAAGGTAACTAGTACAACATGTATTGTGGAGGTGAATGTGATGATGCTCAGGGGAGTAGCCAACCTCCAAACAACTGCCAAAAATAAATTAAGCCCTACTGGAAACCATACTCAAAAGATCTTTCTGTTGAACCAGGCTCTGAAGGAAAAGAGCAGCCAAAAGGAAATTTCTGCTACACTGGAGTGTGTGTGTCTGTCCTTTATGCACGGCCATGTCTCTGATCCCTGCATGGCTTGGTTTGGGGATGGTTATAGGCTAGGTGGTGTTTCAAAATTCAGATCCTCCAGTGTACCTTATTTAGCACATATTTTGTACTTATTTGGCTGATTCACTACTACAGAACCCCTAAAGGAGTCAAAATTTTGAAGGGTAAGTACAAAGTTGTAGAGGGACCTCATGTTACTAAATAAAATTTCCATTGCACCTTGCAATGTAGGAAGTTTGTTTGCCAGGTGGGCAAACAAACTCGCTGCACTGTGCTTTATATAAGTAACTTATCATGTACCCTGCCCTGTGATCAAATAGGCTTAAATAAGGGACTAGAAGGCAGGTTTAATTGCTTATAATATTTTGCTGTTTCAGCTGTGAAGCGGCTGATGAGAGAAGCACAGGAACTTCATCAGCCAACTGAAGATTATTTTGCACAACCAATGGAAGACAACCTCTTCGAGTGGCATTTCACAGTCCGAGGTCCTGCAGACACAGACTTTGAACAGGGGATTTACCATGGCCGAATCCTCTTGCCTCCTGAGTATCCAATGAAACCTCCTAGTATCATCATGTTAACAGTATGTGCAACTATATTGCCCAGAGCCAGTCATGACCCCCAATGTCTACTTAGAGTATCTGAAGTTATGTAGAAGCTGCTATTCGGTTCCTGTGGGCTCCCTGAAATTCAGTTTGCCACTTGCACAAATGAAGCTATCAGAAAATGTGTCCATTATTACCATTGTGAAACCTGGTACTTCTCTCTTTCAGCTACTTATAATGACTTGTTTTAGATAAGCTTGCTTCTTTAACCCCTCAAGTGTGACTTTTTCTGGTAGCCAGCAGCACCTCCAGTACGAAAATGACACATGATGTTGCACACACTTGAAGAGTTAATAGACTTTTACATAAAAATATAATTTTTTTCATCAATAACTGACTTAGCTGCCTCCAAGCTAATGGTTTTTTTCTCTATCATGGTTCCTTTACTGAAATAAGAATATAAGACATTATCCTTCTCCCTTTCAGCTGCCAAGGGGCTTATAATTATCCCTTGTAGCCAGTAGTGATTATTGAACAGGCCATTATGCAAAAAAAAATATTTATATAATTGCTCCTTTTCAAATGTAAAATTAGGGTAAGTGAGAAAAAATCTGACCCACCAGTAAAAGTCTGCTCCCAACTTCACATACTTAAATATTACAATAAATGCAATCTGCACTTTTCAACCAAATTAAACCAATGTCTGGTCTTATAACATGAATGGACAATGTGTCATCTATTCTTCTTGAATGGCATAGATCTCAAAACCATCAGTTTCCAAATATAGACATAGACAAATGGCATATGACAAAACTGGCGTTGAGGAGAAAAGGCCACTAGACAAAGAACCTAAAAATGGTCTTTTATTGCTAAATCCTGTTTGATTCATGCTTAGCTAAAAGGGCTATTCCACATTCCTGAGCAGTTACTTTGGAGAATACTTTGGGCTTAATTACTGTGCATAGATTATACCTGGTGGGGCAAAAAAAAAATTTAAAAAATAACCTATTTGAGACCTTGTAGAAATAGCAGCAAGATTTGTGAGTCTTTTTTATCACATAGAATGCACTCTAAAATTTGTATCAAGTTGAGTTTTTAAGTCTAGGATTTTGGGTAGAATGCAACAGTCATTGAAACTTTGATAAGAAAATTTACCACCTGGCCTCATCCATGTTTACATACTGCACTCCTCTCTCTTAGTCCTAACCTGAGGTTCTCCTTTTGTATATCCCCTTTTGCCTCTCTTTCATCCTATTCATATTGAGTGTCCATAGCAGAAATATATATTCATTCTTTCAAATTTGATCAGAACCAATGGGGTTGGAGGGTGGCTGATACAATTTTCAAAAATGCCTCTGATATAGAATGGGGAATGATTATTTGAGGAAGTCCAGTTTGTGGTACAAGCATCAAAGGGGGTGCAGAGATCAAATTTCTTTCTTTTTACCCTTCCTCAACTGTGTTTTGGTCTTCTAATCTGAATCTTCTAATCCCAGGTGCCCTCATAGTACAAGTCAGAAATGATTAATCCATTCCATTGTCAATAGCCATGAGAAAATGGAGAGAGGTCACTAATATGAAGCACACAGGATGTTTCAATGTTTTATTTGCAAGTTTTAGTAACAGTATTCTTCCACTATTTGACTGGATTGCAGATAAACTTTTAGATTTTCTGCATAATATCTTGGGATTATCCTGCTCCAGTGCCTGTTAAGGAAAGGAGGGAGATTGTAACCATGGCAGAACGAAATGCATAAGGACTGAATCACCATCAGTAGCAGGCCGTTCTTCCCTTTCTCATGCAGCCTTTATATTCTAAATATCTAAATCATTATCAGTGTTCTAAGAAAATTTCAGGGAATGATTTTTAATCTCAAATCTCATCAGAAAATGCAAATTATGCATTGAATCTTAATCTTCTGATGAAATGCAGAATCAAATTGAGCTTTCCTACTCTGAGTTTTGTATATTCAAATTGCCATGAATTGCAGTTTGAATTAACTTGCATTGGATGTGTATATTATTATTTGATTGCATCATCTGCAAAAATTGAGATGACAATCAATTTTGCCAAAAATTTATGTCACATCCTACCTGTTAGGTCAGTTGATTCAGGTAATAAATGGACCTGAAGTTTTGTGCAATCATGAAATAAAACTCATGCTCAGAGTGTTGATGACTTCTAAGAGAGAAGACCAAAACACATGGTCACCCCCATGTGAATCAATCAGTCTTCACAAGCAGCAGATACTGTTGTAAGGTGAAGATGGTATAGATTCAATGTGCATCACATTCCATTGCTGTGGGCAAATTAACAATACCCCTCCTCCCAGCCTCTTACAGGAACAGGATATCAAAAATAAATTTATTAGCTCTGATGAAGATGTGATGCTGCCCTTGTTCTTGTGTCAGTCCTCAAGATTGGTGAATTGTTTGAATGTGTTTCTTGTCTGGAAGCATTCAATATGAGATTAATTTAAGTGTTTCAAATTTATTCCATTTCCAGCATTAAAACATGTTATTAGGCATCTTACAGCTTCCAGTGAACTTCAAGAGTTTATGAACTGTCTTTTGTGCTATAAGATGTCAATACCATGATTTTTTTTCCTTGGCAGCCAAATGGGAGGTTTGAACTGAACAAGAAGGTATGCTTGAGTATCTCAGGTCACCACCCTGAGAGTTGGCAGCCATCTTGGAGCATCAGGACAGCTTTGCTAGCAATCATTGGATTCATGCCCACCCACGGTCTTGGTGCCATTGGCTCCCTGGATTACACCCCAGAAGAAAGGAAGCTTCTTGCCAAAAAGTAAGTCTTGTGACATGACTATACTCTAGACATTGAGTTTCTTTTGTCACATCTCTTAGCATGGTCTTAGCATCATCCAGCAGATACATGCTTGGCTTGGGGAAAAATAAAAAGTACTAAATAGCATCAAAGTTATATGCTTGTTTGTTTTTGTTTGCTCCCAAGTTTTTGCAAATGCTTTGACGAGTTTAATACTTGTTTTGGCATGGGGCTGTAGGCCTCATAATAGAACTAAAGTTTCCTCTGCATGGAAGTCTCTAGAAGTTTGCTAAGATCTTGAGCAGAACTGGTGTCATGAGCCAAACCAGCTTGATGGGGGGGGGGGGGTTGTGGAGTGGATTTATATGGGTGAAAGAAGTGTTTCTCAACTGAGAGTGTGGTGAGGCTCCAGGGGGGTCTGTAAAACCAGTAGCATGCCCAGAAAATCCCAATGGGGAGGGAGGGGAGTTGACATGAAAAATTGGTAACTCACCCTGCATTTATAGCCCAATTAAAAGATTTTTTTAGAATCGAACCTGTAAAATGTATCCCAAGGGGGGGGGTTATGACCCCCATAATCCCCTTAGGCATGGCACTGCAAAACTATAAACAGTGGATGAAAAGAAAAAAAATGATATTAAAAACATCCTCCTGCCCTCCATGTATTCACTACGGGTGATCTTCTAGGCGTTAAAAAACCCACTCCTCAAAGGGTTAATAGACCATGTTTCTGCATGTGTTTCCTTACTTAATCGTATGTAAAAGGAGGCATTTTTGGAAAGAGTAGAGATGGGAGATGAAAAATGGGTACTTTACAACAATATGGAGAGAAAACGACAGTGGTCACTACGAGGGGAGGCCCCCCTCCCCACTGGAAAGCCAGGATTGCACCCAAGAAAGGTGATGCTCTGCATTTGGTGTGATTTCAAAGGAATCCTCTACTATGAGCTGCTCAGCTCCAACAAAATCGTCAATGTGGAGAAGTATTGCACTCAACTGGAGAATTTGAAGCAGGTGATTGCCCAGAAACGTCCAGCTCTGACAAATAGGAAAGAGATAGTTTTCCATCACAACAACGTGGTGATAAGAACCCAGAAAAAATTAAGGGAGTTGAAATGGGAAGTGCTCATTCACCCTCCTTATTCTCCTGACATTGCCCCATCAGACTATCACCTGTTCAGGTCTTTTCAAAACTCCCTCAATGGCAAGAACTTTCAACGATTTGAGGATGTCAAAAACCACATAAAAGAATTTTTTTTTTACTCAAAACCTAAAAAATTTTATCAAGATGGCATCATGAAACTACCTAGTAGATGGGAAGAGGTTATTAAACAGGAGGGAACCTATATAATTGAATTTAGAAAAGTATTTTTTCACATATTTCACACATATATAAAAGTATTTCACATATGAATTTCAAATACTTTTTTCATTGAAAATATGCTAACTTTTTGGCCAACCCAATACATAAGTTTCTCGCTTCTCCATTTTATTTTGGATGAAAATTTCAAGCCAAAGGCTGTCCTTATTCATCCTTATCCTCTTTTCCTTTTTTTAAGGTCTCGAGAGTGGAAGTGCCCAACATGTGGTCCCATGACTTCTCATCTTCTTCCCCGGACAGCAGCATCCCGGACATCCAGCATGCAGCAGGAAATCTCGGATATCGTTTCTCACCTCACCTTCACTGAACCCAAAGTTGGTTTTGAATTGTTTCATGATGACTGAGACAATATTTGGCATTTCATTTTACTGTGAAGGTTGAAGCCTGAAATATTTAGCCAAGATTCTCAGGCACGTTTCTTATCTTGATTAATTCACTTCAAGAGCAGACTTGGTGTGTGATGGGTTCAGTGTGCCTGCCTACAATAAGGTCAGCAGCCAAAGGCAGTCAGTCCTCTAAACCTTTACTATACCTGCTTCAAATTTTCAAGGTACTCCAGTAATAACCTAGTAGTTACCTAGAGTAATTTTGGTACCCCACAGAGTGAGCCAGAAGAAATGGCCTAACCCTTCAGGCAGTTTCATGTACACCATACCATCATAACTTAGAGGGTCAGGTCAAAACTTAGTGCTTGAAGGGTTAATGAATTAAGGAGCCAAATATGTGCCAAGATAATTGGAAAAAAAAAAACAACTAAATCTGCCTTTCTACATGAATACAGCTCATAGTCTTCTTGTGTTCTTCATTTCATGATCTTTCTGGGGGCATGCTTTTTTCAGCCTACCTAGCCATTTACTGTCCAACTGTTCATGCTTCCTCAAATTTTTCCATCAGACAGATGATCATCTTTAGTATAAGCACTAGCTCCTGAAATTCCTGTTGCATTTTGCATTGCCCTTTGTATCATTATTACAAAAAATAGATGCACCTAACTTTTTCTTAAGAGACAACACTCCAACTGCCATATTGCTTCATAAGTGGCCAATGCATTCCTGATGAGTATGGCTACCAAATGCAGCTTCTTTGATGAAAATACATGTTACCATTCCAAATTATAATTGTGGGTTATAAGTGATATGTTCTAGCAGCCAAACGGGGAGAGGGTGTATATTTTGTTTTAATCTTGAACCTCCCCCTGCCAACTAGTAGATTGTAGAAGTGGATAGAAGTATTTGTAGGTAGTATATAATTTAAGTATAGGTACTGATTGAGAAGTTGATCCCCTGCTGATAGAGGGGATATAACTTGTCAGTATACTCAGGTGTGCATTCATATTAGCATACCTTCTTTCCACCCCACACCTCAAGGAGATGGTGGAGATAGTGTCACTGATTATGAGCATTCAGGTGATCATCCCACTCTCCCAGCTGAACTTGAATCGCTGAGAACTTATTGGTATCATTTGCAATATTTTACGACACCCTTGCAGAATCTGGGGGGTGTGGACACCATTCGAAATGTGCACAAATTGAAAAATGATGCAAAAAGGTTCCTTGCTTATTTGGGGACAGTGAAGGTTTATACATTTTTCAACTTTATTGTTGCCATTAGATTTTCAAGATTTTCATTTTAGGATATCTTTTCAATTTGTGTATCTCTTTTGGTTCCTCTGCAGTGTGACTTCAGTTTTTCAATTTTCAAGGAATACTTTATTGCTTTCTTATTTCAGGAGAATAAGGTAGCTGGGGACCAAGATGGAGAAGGACAGCAAGAAAAAGCTGATCTTGTGAAAAACGAGGAAGGAACAGAATCTAGTCAGGCATCCAGTCAATCCTCTTCTCAGGATTCTCCTCCACTTGTCAGGCAGCGCCAAGTAGAGAGATCCATTCCTCCCATGCAAGCTGAAGGCCAGCCATCACGAGCAAGACACAACAATAACAACAATACATTGTCCAACATGCTTATATGCCTTCTCTCAACAGCCATAATTTGCCTCATGCTACGACGGATCATAATGTCTGTCTTGCCAGACTTTGAAAGCACAGCCTCACAACATCTCTGAATGAGGTCATACTATGATTATCTTTGGGTTTCCATGCAGTGGTGGCACCTTGTGTTTGGGATGGTTCTTTCCTTTATCTTTCTAAATACTGAGCATTATATGCAGTCTTTGTTTTATTTTTATCTCTCCTGACCTGTACTGTGCTGAGGGCTTGCCTGTGGTTTTCTTGTGTGTAATGGCTTCGAACTTCGAAAATTGGATGACAGGTAAGCATACCCTGTGATATTGGTTCATCTTGGAACATACAATATTGGCAACTAGAATAGTTGACTGAAACCTTAGAGTATTATTTTAAATTTTTTCCAACATTGATCTTAGTTTTGGAGGCATTACCTGTATTTGGGTGCATTGCAGGCTTCAAGAAGACTGAAATATTTCTAACTTGTATGGATTTGAGGGGTTTCCCATTCCTTTGTGTGCTGGGTGTGCTCTATGAGTTTTTGTCTTCTCAAAATGCCCTATTTTGCACAGTTTTGAACTGGTGAATGAAAGTCTTGTGCAGCAGTGATTGTGGGTTCCTCTGAATAAATATTCACATATTTCCTTGGTAAATTTATTATAGATTTCATATTAGTGGTTGCCATGGTAGGCATCACAATCGCCAAGTGTGTTTCTTACACATTATTTCATACACACATTCAATACATAATATTATACCCTCTGTTTTAACAAGATGACTGGTTTACCCATATGTAAATATTCTGAATAATGAAACTCCGTGAAGTTAGTGTGTAAGTAATCATAGTGGAAAAATGAGAAAGTCTGCATAAATGGTGCATTTAGTTGCTCATATGAACAGAATTTCAAGTTGGTCACAAATCAAAGTAATTTATGCCACATGTAGGACAATTTTCATTCTGAAGTTTTGAAAGTTTCTTCCCAACTAGTGAAAGAATATGCCATGAGATTTGTACTTTATTTCCATTCTTGGTTGTATTGAAAGAGCTGCTCCATGTCGAGATTGGAAAGGGTATGTCTGAAAATGACCCTCTTTTAGAAATTTTCCATCAATCACATTGGGAAGAAGTCTAATTTCGAGCACTGGAAGACATGCACATTGTGCTACTAGTCAAGGGAGTGTTTTTAGTTAATACTCTGGTGATGTTAATTAGCATTATCGGTTGCAATTTTTTTAAAACTCAAGGTCAATTCATAAGTAACAGGATTGCTTTGTTCATTGAAAATCCACAGAGTCCCATTATAAGTAAACTTTCGCTGGCAGCATTTCCAGAGATCACAGAAGTTGTTTATTTGTCATAAACTTAAAACCTAGAAACTTCAAATATGAAATGAGTGCAATGTCAGAACAGAATTTGATCATGACATTCATGCCTGAAATACTTTACCCAATATTCATCTCTCAAACCACTTCATTATAGGGCTGTTATTGAGAGTCAGATGCCTCGTTTCAGCCCTATGAGCTGATCCGTAAAAATGTTATGGTTTAAAAAAAAAAGTTTCATATCTTACCAATTAAGACGCAAGAAACAAGTTAGGATGGCCTCATTTCAAGTACTTTACAAAGTACAAAGAAGCTATTAGCCAGCTTCCAAGCATGAGTAATTTAAAAGGTGGTGTTTTGTTCATTGGATCATTTGTCCCTTTCTTCTCAAAATATTTCAAAGGCATCTCAGAGACCGTTTCATGTTGGGATGTCGACATTGGATTGACAGTTTCTCATAACTCCCAATGACCATGGTTTTTACAGCTATATCTCACTCGGTGGTACAACCAACTTTCTAAAATTAGGACCATTTCACATGCAATCCTATGCATTCGCGGACCAACCCCTCCCTGCCACCGAAAAGTTCAGTCTCTTTAGTTCCCCACTTTCCAGGACGTTCCTACGCCTATGTATAGGAACTTAAATTTTTAAAATTGTATAAGGGTGCGCTGACATTGACATCATGCAACAAATGGTTAAATTTTTCTGTTTATTAGTGGCGCTTGTTCTTTCTGCATTCGGTTCTTACTTACTTCTTGGCATGCGCGTTATCTTTTTCTTCTTTCGCTCTAATGATGGAAATTTTCTAAATAATCTTACCAGCTACTGTACGCGTACCTAATATACGAGTGTGTCGGCAATAAAAAAAAAGATTGAATCCTAAAAGAAGCGGAACAGGAATTTGTTCGCAATTAGTAGGCAGTGCAGCGGGCTCGAGTGAGACTTTTGCTAAAGCTTTCGGCACTTAACTTTGGAGCCACCGACCTAGACACGATTTGGACATTTGAAAACGGAAAATTAGCTCTCCACTCTGATGAAGAGCCATTTCATTACTAGACAGATTGCTTGTCCATTCCTTTCGGAATGAAACCCGATAACTTATGAGTGAAAGGTGTGGCGATGCCTTATTTACAAAAGGGAGAGAGGAGAGAGCGCTTCACGTCATGCACTCCCCTTCAAAAAAGCCAGATCCCTTCGAAAGGAAAACATGCCGGCGTGCCTCCCGCAGGCCTCCTCCCTTTCCGTCCCTAACGGTTCATTAGTTTAACCACGACCTGACAATCTGGACCTCGTCTCGGTTGCATGACAGTGGACCGATTGCATCGATTCGATATAGTAAAACCTATCCCAAGAATCCAGAGTGCTGACTTTTGCGAACGACTTTTCTATGGATAGACAGACGATCATGACATAAGGGGGGCGAGGAAAGGAAACGTTCGGTGCTACACGTGCGTCGTTAGGACCTCGTTAGCACTGTTTTCTTCGTGCCTACAAGACCGGGCGGCGCTGTCTATCCTAAATCGACTGCATATTTCATGCTGCGATCGTTAGGGAAAGGGGGAGGAAAGCAGCCGGAACGCGAGCCGAGGAGAATGAGGAATGGAGAACGGCTCGCTTCGAATAGGTCAAAGGTCACTTGCGGAAGGACTCCTTTCATCCCCCACCAAATTTCATTCTTTTACACTCGAATATTAAGGATATAACGCAGAAAACCAGCCCGCATGATGTGATAGATTGTGATGCATGTTGCATGATATGCATTCCGAGCTTCTTACACGGCTCGTTGTGAAACGCGTGTGATATTCAGCCTAGAAAAAACTATAAGGAACTTTTCTCAAGGAGAACAGTGTTTTCAGAAACCATCTTTTTCTTACGGACATACCCTGGCTTCTAGCACTACCTAATACCTGCTAAAGGACGTTTAGGCCCGAGCGAAAGCACAAACCTTAATTAGGGGAAATAAAGGAGCCTTTAAGCTAAAGAGCTCTTTTTCTCTCACAGGAGCCCATGTTTTCCTGAAGGACCGTTAACTTGAAATTTCAGCATTCGGGCCGTAGTTTCCTCACCTAAGGATCCACTAGCTGCCGAAAGTGAGAACCCATTCGTATTTGCAGCCTTTCTAGCTTAGGCTACTGCGAAACAACCTTATTTAGTCATATTTACTCATTCATATACTCTATGCCGTGCATATGTTTGAAATTCTTGGTGTGTTAGGGAGTGCTGACTGAACGTTGATACACTAGACGAGCGACTGGAGCGGGGTATTCGCTCCGGTGAGCATATACACTCTCGAATGCAAGTCTATCGCCAAGTGCATCAGGACTTTAAAAAAATGTATACCCTTTCGTCGAAACGCGTCGTAGTCCTACCACTTCTTTTCAAAGCAGTTTACTTTGTTGAAAGCATTTCTCGGTACTAGCGCTCGTGGAGGTTCGGAATTCGAATCAGTCTAAAGAAGCGAATACAGAGCAAACGAGCTCATCGGTTCTGTAAAGCCTTGTTCTTACCTACTGTGGAACACAGCTGAAGCTCTCGTGCACTACGAGGACTCAGCTGTACTCTTCGCATCCTCGTGCCATGGGGCTGGTATGAACGAGTCTTCGGTTAATGCTCTGAGGTGAACCCGACGTGCTGTCACGAAGGTCACCCGATTAGTCACTTCTTGTGACCTCCCCCTCGCTGTCGATTAAAGGGCGATCACGGACTTTGTAGGAAAGACGCTTGGAAAGTGTCGGAATTGAAGTGACCTCTGCACGACGATAGTGGAATGCATTTCAAATCACCGGCCGTGACTCGACGGAAGGTAAGCGAAGAACGTACGGACGGCAAACTCCTTCAGGAAACGATCGACACCGTAGATATGACCCATCCTTCGCGGGTCTGTGTCTCTGGGAAACGGGTGAGCACATGGCCGAGGGAACTTTCTCGAAAGTGGTGGTCAAACGGCTACGAACACGCCGCGTGCCGCAACTCCATCCCCTTGTCAGAGATATGCATCTAACGGGGAAAAAGTGTGTGTGTGATGGAGGGGTTACCCCCCTCCATCACACCATCCAGGTACCCTTTGCTTCCACACCCTGAAAAGTATGGGGGAAAAGCATTCGGCCCTATTCTCGGTGATCTCGGTCAGCATAATTTTGCAATGCGAGGCAATGACACAAAATAAATGAAACATGCACACTCTTTGTCTTCTTAACCCTTAGAGTCACACATTAAGATGTTTCATTTTTAGGACTATCTTGTCAAGATACAATGAATAGACAATTTTTTTAATTTTATATTGTAGAAAGCTTGTAACCTTAATCGTTATTCATAAATGCATCATGGTTATAAATATACAGTATAACCAATATAAAATTTATATTTATTCGATAGATGTCGCCAACTGTGCTGTCCGTACGGTGATCGGGCGTTAGTTAATAAGGTCGGGACACAGTTTAGCCACTCCAACTCAAATGGTTGAAAATGTCACCGAAAGCAAGCAGAAAGTAGAAACATGATGGAAATTCCAATTGGCTTCTGGACGCAGCAGGAGTAGGTCGCTCGGTTCTTTGCTGAGGCCATTAACAGCCCCTTTGAAACAATGGCTGAGGCCAGAGTGTGAAAGCGGCGGAATCGAGCAATCGCCATGACATCTCCTTGCGCCTTGCAGATAGGATTGGAATACCGGCCAGGAACATCACCGTGCAGCGATGTGGAATGACCATATTCGAGGAAGTTCAAACACTGGCACTTTCATCGTATTCCGTAGCGTGTCGCAGAAAATGTTTCCTGCACGCATACTTTGTCTTGACAGAGTGTTCGCTCGTCGGAAACAGTAATCAAAGAATAAAAATAAATTCAAGAGTGGTTGCATCCCCCCAAACATCTTCCTGACGCAGCTGCCCTTTTCTTTTTCCGTTTCTCCAACCATTCCGGTTGACCATGGATGGGGCAAGAGATATGATCCGAACATAGCCCTGCGGCAGTTTCGTGGAAATGTACGAATTTTATCGGTTTGAATCCAATAAGATAGATTCTCCTACTCCAATATGGGCAAGTTGAGCGTACAGACTGGTACGATTTTTTTTATTTATTAGTTTGTGAGATATAGGGTGACATGCACCGAATCCGTTTAAGCTAAACTAATCTGATTTCACAATGGTCCCCTATGGGAATCAGTTTAACAGAGATCAACTTATTCCCATAGACGCCCATTATGAAAAGAAATCAATTTAAAGTTAAGATTCCGCCAGATTCGTTTAACTTTCCCATAGGGGACCATTGTGAGATCAGATTAGTTTAGCTTAAACGAATTCGGTGCATGTCACCCATTAACAAGAGATAC